AAAATACTGAGGGGAAATCATGATTGAAAGGAAGAGAATTCCCATTTTATCATATGATGTTATTCAGATAAGAAACTTCTGGTCTCACTTTTAGGGTCTTGACAAAATAGACTTACCAGGAAGTTGGTGGGAGGAGACACGGTGATCCTGTAGTGGAACAGTTTCCCAGAGTTGTTGTTCATTGGACGACAATGTTTCACTTGCTGAAAAAGACCAGAAACTGACTTTAAAGTGGACCTATCATGCTATATTTGAATAATATAGTGTAGGACCATACCTATATAAGGCATTTTTATACTTTTTATTTTTCAAAATACCAAACAGATCATGCATTTTAGCCATTCCTCATTTCGCTCAATTTAACACTGTCTTTGCATCATGGGCTGATTCTGTGAGAACAGCACCATCTACAGGCCTGGCATATGTACTACAGCGTCTCCAGCGCTTTCCAACGGCAATGTCCGTGGCTGTCTCCTCCTGATTGGTGGAGTTGGCCCAAAAGCTGTAGCGCCACTTCTGTGACGTCATAGAAGTGTTCAAATCTGGATCAGTCTGTATCAGATCCGTTGCAGCCCCTTTTTAAGAGATTTGGGTATGGAGGAAAATAGAGAGGGTTGTGTTTTCTGACACTTGGTGAGTTCCCTGGAACACCGGGGACACATGTTCATGTATACAAAACGTACAAAAGTGCATTTTGCATGATAGGTCACCTTTAAGTTATAGTCTTTAACAGCACAACGTAAGAACAAGAAAAGGGCCAGAAACACATCTAATAGATACGAATGATGTTTGGAGAAAAGAAACAGATTTTGTTCACATATCCCAGAATTTGTAACACCCCAAACGTACAAGCCGTATTTTTTATTTGTTATGAGTATCCCTCAAGAAACGTTTAGTCGATTAATAGTCAAAGAACTTCACTTACCAAGTTAATGTTAACAAATAATAACATATTTAATTAAAGTATGTTTCCAGCATTAAAACATCACAAGAGACCAAATACTAATTGTGTTAACATAGATCTAACTCATATTTTCCAGTAAATCCTGACAAGTAAAAATCATTGACATGCTCTTAATGAAAACAGTCACATTTCCAATACACTGCATGAAGCCATAAAAACAAATTAATTGACTAACGATGCCCCGGTCAGCCAAGTCCGTAACAAGTAATTAGTCAGCTAATGGACGAACAAGGGGGCGAGCTCTGTTCTTTTTTACACCCCACCACGTACTTTAAGTTATTAAATGACCTTCAAGCTACGCCTGTTAAAGTTGCCGGTGAAAAGAAATCTACTATATTGAACATTAACAAGCATTTCTCTGAAGGTTATGTTAACACCTCCAAGAAAAATACTTCTGGAAAAATACAGGGTAATGCATTTATTAAGTAAAAAAAAAGAAAACCCACCTTAATGGAAGATACTGCAGTTGATAAATATTATGTTTTACAAGTTTGTAAAGTTGAATGTGAATTGATGGAAACATTGGATTGAACCTGGTTCAAAATGACTTCCCATTTGTCGAAGTATTGGAGAAGAAGTTTTTTTACAGAGAGAATTTTGTATATCTCTTTGCCTAACTACAAGTCAGAACATATTCTCGAAAATCTATTTTTGCCATGTTTTTTGGAATAGAAATGTTCTATAAATCAGGCTATGAATGATATATGAACAAAACCCTCCATAGAAACCTTCAGAATATAGATAGAAATTGGACTGGAAGGTTTGGTGGATGAAAGTTCTGCTGGATTGGAGATTTCTAGCTTCAAGTATAAGGAATGAAAACTCATTTTAGAAAAGAAATATGAATTGCAAGATTCCTACATATAGCTATCACATTGTCCCTATAAATATTCCCTAGTTGATAACATACATAACCTTTCATGTCATTAAATAGGCAAAGTGTAGTCGAATACAATTCTTAATGTGTATTTTGTCATTTTATTTTCCTGTGTCTTAAAGGAGTCCAAAATAGAAAAGTGCATGTTTTAGCCTTCGTGTTTTGCTTTAAATGTAAAAAAAAAAGGTGTTATATCACACCTATGATAAATACAGGGAACATAAAATAGCTTTGACATTTGCAGTTTATTTTTCTTTGCTTGAACGTGTTAGATTGTTCATTTGTAGTTGGGTCTATGTGGGAGTTTTGGTTCATAAACCAAGCAAAGCGAGAAAGCAGAAATCTCAGCGGCTGGCAAATAAATCGATGAGCCATTGGTATAGATCAACTCCCCTGTCGAGTTCTCACACTGATGTACATGTAATATCATCATTTGGTTCTTTGGGATGATGAAATCCCCCTTACTGTCCCTTTAAATGCAATGGAAAATGGTCAATGTACACAGAATACATTTAAAATGACTAGAATAATGTCCTTGGCCCTCTGTGGCACCACTTCAAGGTTATGAAAGGGGATTTATTCACGGCGTGTCATACCTCCTCCCCCGGGTAGATGCTGTGGCGGATCCCTGTACGTCTGGCCTTGGCACTGCACTTACACAGGGGACCATCATTCATCTGGACAGGGAGAAAATACGTAAATCACACACAAGCGCTCCGGCTACTTGCCATGTATAACAGCAGGTCTGCAGGTCACTGTACAGCTCTAAACGCTTCACATTCAGTTCTCCACTGGAGTTTAACGTTAGCCTGTGTCAGTTATTGTGCAATTACCACCTAAACAACAGTTTGACATTCATTCTTTGAAAAGGGAGAACTAAATATTCAATTATCTTTTTTTATATACGATTTTGCCTGAACTCAGGTAGGGCTGCTCAATTAATCGCGATTACGATTATGGCTTGCAACGATTACGAAAACAACGTAATCGAAATAAAACGATTATTCTTTTATTATTAATAATAATAATTTTTTTTTTTTTGGTTTTTCAGTTGAATTACACTTAAAGTTCAGGGTAATCAACTGTTAAAAACATACTGTTAAAAAAAAAATTCTCCAATAAATGGATGTTTTCAAAGTCAATGAATAATCGCAATTACAATTATTGACCCAAATAATCGAGATTATGATTTTTGCCATAATCGAGCAGCCCTAAACTCAGGCATCATGTGGCTGTACAAAGAAAAAAGTTAGATTTTTAACAGGATCTAAACCAAACCAATGTGTTTTTATTCGAGTGTGTAAAATACCATTTGTAGGCTGGGGTTATCTCTGCAGTTCCACAATATTGTATTCAAACAAATATTGTGCTCTCTGGGGTTTTAATATAGTACTAGTCAATATTGCTATTTCGTTAATTGTGCAGCCCTTGTACTGTATCTAGGTTACAGATTGTCTGGCAGCCAAATTGCTTTTACAAGGAAATAAGTGCATCCTTCCATTATGTGATATATTTAAACAACGGCACACATGTTGCGTTTGATGATAAAATCAAAGTTTTTGTTTGCTTTTGGGAAAGAACGTTTTTCATTTATTTCTGTTTTGTTGACTGTGGCAGAGCAGCTGCTTCAAGTAGAGGCAGTATTAGATGTTCCAAAGCCATGTTTATTCGGATTACTGTTATTATCTTCTGCCATCGACTGTTATCTGTTCACTGTGTGAAAACTCATGCATGTTTGATGTGAAGAACAAAGGCAGGGTTCAAAGATCTAAAGGCATATTCATTTTAACGATACTTAGAATGTAATGAAAATCCATTTTGTCAGTAAACTGAATCTAAGTAAAGAACATCAATGATCCTGTCCTGTTCTCCACCTTTAATACTTTGTGAGACCTGCATTGGATTACAGAAGAATGGAGATGAAAGCAGAATCTGATTTGTAACGGTAAGCGCCAGAGGGTGGGACCGACCTGGCCGGGGTCGTTGTACCACAGCTCGTCGTGCAGCCGGTCAGGGTGAGCCTTTTTCCTCTTGATCTCAGCGATGACATCAAAAACATCCGAGTCAGAGCTGCTGGAGCAGGTGCTTCCCTCCCCGTCTGACTCGCAGTCTGACTCACTGCTGCTGTCTTCTGCAAGCAAAGTGCAAAAGGGGCTTTAAACCGCTGCAACGTCACAGGGCTGACAGCGGATACATAATACGATGAGCCGCAGCGCGCTCGCTGTTTAAGCTCCCCGGCTCAGCTGTGCCCTCAGAAAGTATTAAACAACATAAAGTCTCCGTAAAGCAATCTGTCAACAATGTTTTTCAAATGGTGCACTCTGCAGACTCTGAGAGGAATAATTATACACACAAGAAAGTTCAATCATAATACGTGTGTAACTAGGGAAGATATTACACCATTAACATACAGTCATTTAGATGAGCCCCATATAAACACCTATAGTGAGAAATAATTACTTATATCATTAAATAGTCAGTACTAGTCATCAACAATTCAAAACTAAAGTAAAAACAATTATATTTGCAGATTACTCCAGCTAACAAGTATTGGATATTCCCAGTATTACTTATATATGCATTTACTTAGCCCTAGTTAGCATCAATATAACAATGGCATTTATTTCGTCAAAAATGTATAGAAATTAAGGAGTACAAAGAAATAAAGAAAACTAATGAAAAGTGGAAATAAATAAATAAATAAAATAAAAGTTAGGGCAAGAAATAAATAAATAAATAAATCTTGCCCTAACTTTTATTTAATTTATTTATTTATTTCCAGTTTTTTGATATACTTTATTAATCCCCGTGGGGAAATTGTTTCTCTGCATTTGACCCATCCTAGTGTTAGGAGCAGTGTGCTGCCATTTTGAACGGCGCCCGGGGAGCAGTGTAGGGAACGGTGCCTTGCTCAGGGACACCTCGGTAGCACTTGGTCTTGCCGGGACTTGAACTGGTGACCTTCCAGTTGCCAAGCCAAGTCCCTATCGACTTCGCCACCACCGCCCCGTACTCCTTAATTTCTATACGTTTTTGAGGAAATAAATGCCATTGTTATATTGATGCTAATGATGATGCACGGGAGGGCTACTCCCCATAAGCTATGCTTCAGCCCTCCCTCTTCTACTAATTTTGTTCATTTGTGTGTATGAATTATACGTTTTTGTTTTTGTATGATTTTAGTAGAATAAATAAAATAAAATACTAATAACTTGAATGTTCCACATATGTAGCTTAGAGTGATTAACCAATCACTATGTTGGATTCATTGTTAGAAGATTCCACTTTATTATAATTACTCCTTATAAGCTACATGCAGACTTGTTTGAGATTCAGCAGCACATTTGCCCAATGCTGACATCTGGAAATCATGTTTTCTAGATTTCTCTCCTAAAAAAAATAACAAAAATAAGATTTATAATCACTATTCATTGGAATAGTTTGTAAGCAGTCTTCAATCCTTATCAGCAGTTTGACTCGAGCACTCGATTGTGAAGTCAGCGCCCCGAGCATGGTGTTTAGCAAAGGAGATCTTCCCGAGCAACATTTCTATTATTGCAGCTCTGAGAGAGACGGATCAGGCTGACAGCCCCGCAGATAACATCATAAACGCTGAACTTAATCTCTGCCTCAGCCTAATGCACTGCCGAGGAGACGGCGCGCTTTTGTGCATATCAATTACAAAAGATTGCCGACAGATGTGTTAACTGTTTGTGCATTGTTGTTTTCCACTTACCCAGAACATACATGCTTACGGGAGAAGGACAGCTTTAGGAATAAATCGATGACTGCTATTGCTTCATAACTTACTTTGCATAGTGCAGAATTCGAGCTCAGCTTAACATTGATAACTTTTAAAGCATTATCATTAAGAGTAATTGATGACATCATTTTTACTTTCCAAAATAGGTCTGATATAATCCAGTCCTCATGTCACAATCTGTTCGTTGTTTTAGCGAGCTAGCTAGCCATTATTATTTGTCATGGTGTTTTATTGTGTGCCCCTCTTCTTGGTTTATTTGTGTTTTTACATTTGACCTGAGGACCTCTTTTTGTTCTGGAATGACAATAAAATATCCTTATCCCTATAACATTAACATAGCTCAATTAATTAATACAAAGCACACTTATTTAGTTCAAGCTCAAATATATAATTTGGTTATTGCCTCAAGTCCAGCATTGTTAAAACAACCTGTTGATAATGTGCTTTTTTTTTGTCTTAAATAAATTGAAATGACATTAACACTTGGATTATAATGTACATTTATACTTATCACAAATTGTACCCAACTAGTTTTGCAGGTCTGCCCACCTGGGTCTTCGTCCAGCTTGGTCTTGGGGGGGTCCCACATGGGCCGGACAGCCTTCGCCCTCTCCTGCCTCTTCCCCAGCTCCTCCTCGAAGCGCTCGTACAGATCCCGCAGCTTGCTGGTGCCCACCACAGTGGAGTCCCCCTGAACACGTGCAAATCAAATAAATACATTTGTCCATTGTTTTTAAATGTTACATAAAGCAAGTGAACCTAAAAGCTACCTCAGTCTGGGGCTGCAGTCCAATAGTCCAAAAATACTACCGTCTATTCCTTGACCTCCGTGTGAAACGTCAAGGGGTTAAGGAATAGTGGATAGGAGAGTTCAAAAGGAGAAGAGACTGCGGTGCTTTGAGAATCCGACTGCACTTCCACTATCCCATGTGTTTATGATGCGCCAGCGGACGTCATGAATATGCGTCTGCTGTGGGGAAACTACAGTTTTCTATACAGCGGAGTGAGCGGACTACATGGATGCTTAAAGGTCCCATGTCATGCTTCTCCGGTTATGACCCGTCCCCTTGTGTGTTATGTAGCTTTCCCTGCATGTAAACGGTCTGCAGTCACAAACCCTCAAAGCACACCCTGTAGCGAGTAAAACTCTAACACAGAGAAGACCTGTCTGCTGCCCCAGAGCGCCTCGTTGGACATTTTTATTTTTCCATTTGCGTCTTCCTGAGTATAGTGACGTGCCCATATCCTGGTCCAAATGGATCCGTGGATCTCCTCACACACACACACACTCACACTCACCCTTATCTTTTCTCAGCCGCGGTACTCCGATGAGTTTCGCCGGCACACACAGTGGATCTCCACTCACAGTTCGCCACACACTCACGTGTAGGACAGAGAGTGAATACACATACTATACAGAGATGCTGTTTGAGAAACCAATGTGATTTTGGGACATTGAACAATGTAAATCTATTCTAGTAGACCTCAACAATGGAATTATGATCAGTAGAAATGGCCATGACATGGGACCTTTAATAAGAACGTCGGACGCATCTAGAGACTTTGCACCGCGCTCTGATGGAGTGGTTTTATGCTTTATGAACGTGGACAACAGAGAAACATAAATTCTTCATGAACGAGGTTGTAATTGAAACTTAAACTTATGCTCGTCACCCTCTCCCTCCGGTCCACATTAATACAAATGATCCCAATACGTATGATTGTATGAAAAGATCTTAAAATAAATACAAATGTATTTATTATAAACGTTAGTCCTTAACACCTATCACCATTCAAACATCTTTTAACAGTTGAACAAACCCCACACAGCTCAGTGAAATGTTGACTTTATTTGATCATTTCAGTAAAAACTAATGTTCATATTTCTCTTTTTGATTATAATACAGATGAACGTTCCTGAGACTGCCAAG